CGATAGACGACAACAATATATATATATATATATATATATATGTATATTTTCAAATTTAAGAAATAAAAAAGTACAAAGAAGATCTCAATTAAACTTAGTCAAAACTAATAATACAGCACTGATTCTAATCACAAGCCAACATTTAGCATTAGCTATTAAAGTCTACTGGGGGACTTAAAAATAACATAACTAGAATATTTTCTGATTAACTTTATATGCTTACAGTTTATTAACAACAAATATAGAAATAATTTTATTTTTATAAACTGAAATAAACTATACCGAAGGATGTACACCTCCTTGTAAAACCAATGAGGTCTGGTGTGGTATATGACCAGGAAAAGAATGGGTCTGTGGGTAAATAAGACCAAGATGACGTTGAAACTGGGGTGTTGAGTTGTGAGCAGTCAAAGCTGTGGTATTCATTTGGTTCATGTTGGTTCTTGATATCTGCTGTGATAGCTGATAGAAGTGCTGAAATAAAATATTTTTTTAAATCACTTGGTTTCCTAGAAAATAATTAAATACTCAAAAGTTCAAATCTACCAATACCAAAGTTAGCCAGTTTAAACTTTATTCAAAAATAACATTTATTGCTAATTATTCAACAAAAGTCTAAAGGATTTACTTGTAATAGATATATTGAGATTAATAAAATTTCTGGAGTATTATAAGAAAATGGAGAATTTTTTACAATTTTGGATTCCCAAACATTTTACATCCCGATTCTTTTGTTTCCTAACCTAGATACGATATAACTAAATTCGAATATTCATTTCTCTATTGTTAATATTGTAACAGACTACTTAACTCACAAACAACTACATTTCTACTGTTTCATCCACTATATTTGTATAACTTCCAGAAATAGAAATATGACATCACTTGGTTACATATCATAGTTCATATTTCTAGTAATTAAATCCCCCCCCCTTTTATTTCCGGCTTATACTAACTGTTTCCATATCTTTGTTTGAAATAGTTTACAGACAAATTACGTTATATGATATATGAGAAAAATTATTTAATATTTTACCTGAAATTCACTTTACTAATCGATAATATTTAGATTTTGGAAAAATTTAATAATACGGTAGAAAAAACCCAGATCAAAAACAAGTACAAGAAGAAGTAACTCATATGAGAGAACCAACCATATCTAATGCCCAGCTATGAAATTAAATTCTTAAAGCACTTTGCAAAAGCCCAATTAAGGATGAAACAAAAAAAAAAAGAATGCTGTAACAAACTTATCAGTTTAAATGTTAATAAATGCTAAATATGTCTAAATCTTTTGATTGCTTTCATAACATTATTAAGATTTAACTATCAATATTAATCCTAACAGGGCTATGTACATGTATGTATGTATATATGTAATGTAGCTATTTTCGTTCTCACAAGAACACTTCTACAACAAGAGAGTAATATTTCCATTATGAAACAGGTTGTTTCCAATCATATCAAATATCAAGTGTTTAACCCTAAAATATAATACCCGAATGACTAGTTTCAACCAGGAAAGTTTCTGTTCATACTATACTATCACAAGAAAATCAAAACTGAAAAAACCTTGCAAAACAACATAAATTATCAGCAGTTTAATGGTTTAACAACCTCTAATGTAAAGCTTAGAATTACGACACCCAATAATCTTCATGGTAAGCAGCCTATGCCATCATCCTAGTCTAGTTATTTATCATTTACTAAAAGTATTAGTAAATAATTAACAAAATCCAGTTAATATCAAAATACACAACGTGTGATTTAGCTGAAACAATTTTGAAAGACCGAAAAGCTGCATCAGTGTTTCTACAGCACAAGTTCCACATGCATTGGTTTAATAGAGAAATCCTCTCATAGCCTTAAGACTTGCTCACCCCTACTACAGGTTGTCTATGAACTGGACCTTGATGCTGCTGAAGACCACTTGGTTGTAGCTGTGGTCCTGTACTATCTGCTGCCACTGGAGCTGGCATGGCTATCTGAGATTGGTGTACTCCACGACCAGAGTCTAACAAGTATTGCTGTGTAGGTGGCGGTTCACCCTGCGCTGGCAGGGCACCAGGTTTGCTCATATCATGGGGAGACCCACTTGAAAATGATTGCTGCACATGTAAAGCAACAAAAAAAAAAAAATTATATTTTTACCCTGAGCCTGTGTTAGGTTAACATAAGCTGTTTCCACACAATTCAAGATTGTGAGAGCACATTACTATTCAGAGAATGCACCTACTCAAAACTTCAATATCATTTTTATTTTTTGTAACACACATCATAACTGTTAACAGAATGTGTCTTTAACACATGATATACGTACTTTTTTGTATGGTATTTGTAACATCATTACTCACCACCCAGTGGCCCTCATTAACTTACAAATTTTAATACGAATCAGATGAAATGTATCTTACCATGTTACAGACGACATTCTACTTACAAATTTGTAATTTTCTTATCACTGAAATTGTGCACTTTCATAAATATTGGTAATAAGGAAAAATTAGAAACTTTACGTGTTTTTAGAAATATTAAATAAGCTTCAGCAGAATTTAATTAATGACTTTTGGCCAACTGTCCATACAGTAGAACCAAAATATTAAAAAATTATTGCAATTTTTTTAGTTTTGCAGTGGTCCTTAAAAACAATATTAACATTTTCTTTCAATGTGATCACTGGACCCATTCTTGTGACGCCCTGTCTATTTTTGTCTTTGCACGTTACTTCCCTTATATCACCTGTAGCCTAAGAACTTGTTCCCGAGCTTTCGTGCCATGTGTTACCTGTTCTTTTTTTCTTTCACCCTAACTATTCTATTAATAGTTTTATTCTCACTGGAAACCCAATGAAGGGCTGTTGCTCAAAACTTTTGTTTTCATATTCAACAATAAAATCATTTTAATTTGGTACATTTTTCACCATTACTATATTTTCTATTTTGCCCTGTCCTTCAATTCTACTATCATAACTTTCTGTAATAACCAGAAAATGGAAAATATTTCTGTGATAGATACTTGAAACTTCAGTTTCAAATAAAAACTTAAGATCTGAAATGTTTACTGCGACTCAAGTAAAATATATCATTTCACAGTTGCCCCACGTTATACACTAGTGCCATTACAAGTTGCTCAACGATATTTATCAGGTGTATTCTCTACTAGCATTACAGATTTCACACATTAAAAGAAAGCCTAAATTAGATCACACTTTTTGAACTAATCTAATAAAAAGCATTATTATAGCATCATCTTTAATTCGATGTTTTCTTCACTAAGATATTTACATAAAATCAGTGTTACACGTACATTTCAAAAAAATGAAAATAGGTTATACTTATTAAGATACAAGTTAAATGATAGCTCTGTTTATCATGGTAAGGTTATATGCCTTTATAATGCTCATTCATGTCAACGTTTAAACAAATTAATTTGAACCCCCCCACCCCATCTTGATTTTTGTGCCATCTACAAAATTGAAAGATTACTTTTCTTACTTTAACAGCCGTTGCTTCAAACTCCAAATTATAATAACCAATTATTACCCCTAATTTAATGTATATTTAAAAACTGACAGGTTCATGCTTGTATATAGATGAGTACAATTTAATATACTGCTTTATGTTAGTTTAAAATATGCACCACTTCTAACTTTTACAAGTCTTGTATCTTTTGATTTGCATGAGAAAGTATACAGTGGAGGTAGCCTCTCCTTTTCTAAAGTGATACAGTACTAGTAGAATGAGATACTCTTTTAGAATTACTGTAAGTGATTGGTCAGTTTAAATATTTATATTAAGCTTACATACAAAACAACTCACTTTTCACGAGTATGGATTGATTCTGTTCTCTAAAAATCTTCTGTTCCTGCAAGAAAAAAACAAGATATAGTAATTTAGTTAACAGCTTCCATGCTTGGAGGTTTTTACAAAATCAGGAAATTATCAATTTTGCGCATGTAAAGTCTTGAGTGGAGTCTTGATACTATTTTCCATATGTGAACAAACTAATATTCAGTACAGCCAATATATTAAGATAATATATTCTCAAGTGCTGTGAAGAATCACAATTCACAAATATCTAGAAATATAGTGTGTGTATATATCTGTTAGAATAAAATTTACATTCTGAAAATACAGAAATACGTTAAAAGAGAAGTTACAACAATGTTTTGAACTTTTGAACCAATGAATAGAACCTAATTACAGTCCAGTTCATTTCATTCAGTCAAAAACACACTTAGAAGATTCTTTCACAGATAACCCTTTAGTTTTTTAAAGTAGATATTTTTCTAGAACTATCCTGTACCTTGGCGAATGCTCTAGCATTTACTAGATATAGGGTAGTCTGGTATATAAAAGAGGGTGACAACGTGACGGGACAATAATGTGTGTGTAGGTAATGAGTAATTGAACTGCAGTCAGAGTGAGACGTATTGTTGAAGTTAACGTTCGTTGTTAAAACGTTTGTAAAAGAGCGACTGTTGAAAATAGGTGTATCGTGAAGTTATATTCAGAAAGAATAAACCAGTTTTATCAAGTAAGGTCTTGTGTCGCTAAAGTTTCGTCGGAACGAATTTACGGGAAATCAATTAACAAACGGAGACGTAACAATATGAGTTAGTAAGATACTGAAATAAAGAAATTTCGCTTCTGAGAAGTGACTGACTGAGATAATTATATTATGAGCTAAACTTAAATTCTGAAGAGCGTAGACTGTGATGATAGTTTTCAAAATTGTCTTTGAATGTAACTTGATTTTAGGAGACATATGTTTGAATATGCTGTAATACTAGAAGCTCAAGTAGAGCTAGTGCAGTGTCTGAGAAGGTGAAATAAAACGTCACGTTTTTTTGTTTTTAAATCATAAAACCGCTTGATTATATTACAGCTGTTACAACTTAAATAATATTCGTAATTATTTGTTATGTTCACGATATAAATAATCAAAATTTCTTTTAGGATTTAATAACTTTCAAAATTTGTAGTGCATACTGGAGGGACTTGCACATTTTGATAAAAAGTTTAGAAAAAACGACCTTTACACCCGAATTATATATATGAAGGAAATGTTGGTTAAAATAAAAATATTCTTTTATATATATCTGGAATGTAACGGTCGTTTTTTTTTTACTTTCTCTATTTAATAACTTGCCTTTAACATAAGCAGTTACGTAAATTGTTTTTGTGTGTATCTAAAGCGCCAAAATTTTTAAATATACTGCATAATTATAAATATTTTTCAAGTTTTGAAAAATCTACCAACTCGTGGGATACCATAAATGAATAATGGGATTTGACCAATGCCCCCATGGACCAAAATGCAGAATGCGAATTAAAAAAAAACAAATAAGTTGTTTGGCAGTAATGGAGCATGAATCTCAGATTTGCAGTTTGGTATGCCAATCACTGGGCCGTGATCGGCCTCATTCGTGAATGAGTCACAGTTAAAATAAATGTATCAGGGCAGTACAACTTACAAGGTAACAACAAAAAACACTCATTGGCATAATAAAAAAAAAGATGGAATTTGATAATCAACTAAAAGTTACAGTGTAAGTAAATTATTGTTATTAGGTTTCATCTGGAATATAATTATGTTTTCATATTAGTGACAACCTAAGAATGTTGCTATTGGCAGAAATTTCTCATCTATACTAAAAGCCTTGTAATATTTTGTAAGTTAGAGTATTATAAAAATAGACGGTGTTTGTGTTGCAATTTTTTTTTAGCATTGCATTAGATTTAGAGTTGAAAATAAAACAATTTTTTTATAATCCTAAGTTAGCCATTGTTACCGTTGTATTTTTACTTATAGTTGTCAAAAACAAAAACAAACTATGACTGTGTGGTAATTTTTCTTAGCAACTAGAATTAAAATGATCTTTAAAGCTGTTTTCCAAATACTAAATCTTTGAATGAATTTAGGTTTAATTTAACCAGGTTTGGCTATTGAGGTGAAATTTGTTTTAGCATTAACTCTGAAGACCAGGGCCAATCTTTCATGTAGACGTTTCAAGTCAGCATTACTTTCATACATTTGAAAGTTTTTGTGGTTAGTTAACAAGATGTTTTAATTATTTGTTCTCATTGACTGTTTCATTGTGGAATACATTAACAACATTTTAAATTTATGGCTTGATAGAACTATGTATATATATTAGGGAAGAGTCTTTAGATTTGTATAAACGACAAGTTTTTATTTTATGAAACTGTTGTTTTTGAAAATGGTTGATAATTAAAATTATTAAAAACTTACAGTTCTAGTTTGAAAGTGAAGTTTAAAGAACTTAATTAAATGTGAAGTAGTACATAGACATTAAAAATGTAAAAACAAAATTTTCAGATATACAGTACCTTATAATTTGAGAAAAAAAAGTCTTAGCAGCTTTTTCTCAGCAAACTATATATATTTTGTTGGACAAAACTGAGTGAATTCTTATCTTGATTTCATTACAGTAAAAAAAAATATCCATATCTGTGGACTGTCACTTCAACAATTAGAAAGTACATTCATAGTTAGTGGAAAATTAAAACAGCATTGTTTGTAGAGTATAATAAAGGTAAGTTTAATGTGATAATAATTTATATTATATGTTAACATTACTGGAGTAAGTAGTTTAAATGTGAAACGTATATGTACCAGGCTTTGTACCCCATACATGTGAGGTGCAGCTGACCATGTGCTTATGCTTATTTACTATGCATAGCTGTCATACATCCAACTTTAAAAGTTACTTATTTTCTTATTTTTTTTTCTTATATAGTAGTAGTTATAAGATTTTGCATTTTTAAACTTAATTTTATATACATACTATGTTATACAATTTGTATTGCTAAAAATGTTTTCATTATGCTTCAGTAAGAGTATTCACATGCGTTAAATGACCAGAATCATACTTACATTTTTTAAGATTATTTGCTGACATGATTTGTATATTTATCAAGAAATCGTATGGGCCATTATGAATAAACATAATTTATCCTCCTCTGTTATTAAGTTTGTTGTAATAGTATTCTCTATTCCTTTATCTGTTTTATGGTACATGAGAGTTATGTTAATTAGGTGTACAGATCTTGTGGCGTGACACTAGTCATGTGACTTCGCTGACGCAACAATAATTTCCCGTAAAAATTCTTTCCGAGAAACTTCAGCGATAAAGTCCTTTCTGTTACATCTCCGTTCGTTAGTTAATTTTCCGTAAATTCGTTCCGACGAAACATTAGTGACACAAGTCCTTTGTTAAATAAAACTGGTTTATTCTTTCCGAATACAACTTACGATACACTTAATTCCAACAGTCGCTCTATAACAAACGCTCACGTCTCACGTGGCCAACAATATTTTGTCCGCATACATTCAATTACTCATTACCTACACACATTGTCCCGTCACGTTGTGACCATCTTATATATATATATACCAGACTACCCCCAATCTAGTAATCTCCCGATAATTCACGAAGGTTCGAGAAAGAAGTGGCGTGATACTAGTTACGTGACCTCGCTGACGCAACATTTCTTAATTGAAACTAGTTGTTACGTCTCCGTTTGTTAATTAACTTTCCGTAACTTCGTTCCGACGAAACTTTAGCGACACAAGTCCTTACTTAATAAAACTGGTTTATTCTTTCCGAATACAACTTTACGATACACTTATTTTCAATAATCACGCTAAAACAAACGCTATATCAACGAACGTCAACAATACTTCTGACTGCAGTTCAATTACTCACTATCTACACACACACATTACATTACGTCACGTTGTCACCCTCTTTTATATACTAGACTACCCTATATCTAGTAAATACTAGAGCATTCGCCAAGGTACAGGATAGTTCTAGAAAATAGGTGGCGCCACACCAGTCACGTGACCTCGATGACGCAACATAGTTTATTCTTTCTCGTTACAAACTTTGTAATACACTGAAATTCCAGAGTCACTTTAACTTAAACATACTCTATAATTCACAACGATTCACGCACTTTACTAATGCGCTTGACTCAATTGTCCGTTTCTGTCTCTCTGCAAGTCAGTTATTGCCGTCACTTATTTGCCGGCTTATATACTATAAAAGCAAACTCTCGAGCCTTCACGAACGTTCGAGATACTCATTAAGTGTTACCAGCGTCACGTGACTTCCGCTATCGAAACACTTCCCCTTCCTTAGTGTTGTTTTTCTAACATCCCATCAGACTGCAAGTGAAGTGGCGTTGTTCTGGTCTTCATATGTCAAACAACTTGCAACATTCATGGAACACAGCTGATTCAAAGTTACGGCCTTGATCCGAATGCAGGTCGTATGGCATACCAAATCTGAAGAGGAAATCACTAATAGCCAAAACTACAGTTCTAGCTTCCTGATTTGGTATTGCATATGCCTCAGGCCACTTGGTGAACTAATCCATCACCACACAAATGTACCTGTTTCGAGCACGAGTTTGGGGCAAAGGACCACCAATGTAAACGTCACTCTTTCCATTGAAGCGCCAACTTGGTATAACTTCATTGGAGCATGTCCCTTATGCTTGGGTCCACTTTTAGCACAACATGTACTGCAGGTTCTGCACCATTCTTCCACATCTTGCCTCATACCTATCCACTAAAATCTCTGTCGTAGGTGACTTAGTATTTTCTTAACTCCGAGATGTCCTCCTGTTAAGCTATCATGAGATTGACGCAGCACAACTTCCCGTAACTCTTTCGGTATAACTGTTTGCCAGGTCGTCAGTTTCCCATTTTCGGACAAGAATACCATCTTCAAGCTTCAACTGGTCCCATTGTACTCAATAGTTCTTTGTCACAGGGCTTAAGCTAA